AGTTTTAACATGCAGCGAATAGAAACATGGATTTTAAGTGGCTGGAATAAATATGTTGTATGTCTTTTAGAACAGAAAACTAAAATCCTAAAATGCATGTTTGAAGGAAGTTAAAAAGATCAAATTCTAAGTTAAGACCGTGTGTGGTCAGTGTTTTTAATTCAAAAACCCATTTAATTTCTTCTTGGCCTAAGAGTTTAATTATATTTTTACTCAGAGAAATCTTTAATATTGATGTAGAGAGGGCCCTGGTGCAAGAATTATTTTGGGCCCTGTCTCTAGCGCAACAGTGGCAAAGAAATAGATCCCCATCTGTCGTTCAACTTCACAATACTATGCCAGCTGGAGATTTACTATTTGCCTATCCTTGCATGGTTTAATTTGTTAGCAGTGTTTGTGGGTTTGAATATAAGCATGATTTTGAAAATTGGGTAGATTAGATGGGCGGAATGGTTCCCAACTGCCGTCACATTCTATGTTTCTATGTTTTTACTGTTACCATTGAAATGCAGTAGTGTACTTGTGTAATGTAGTGTTTGCATTTGAAGGGAGGAGTGTGTTTGAATGTACTGTTGTCTTTTAAATGCAGATGTCCTTTTGAGTGTAGAATTTTAGCATTGTAATACAGGGGTGTGTTTGTATTTAATGATTGCATTTGCATGCAAGGGTGTATCTGGATGTAGTACTGTCTTTCAAATGTGGGTGTACACTTGTATGTAGTATTGGTGTTTGAATTTGAAGGGACCATGTTGTGTTTGATGGCTGGGATGTATGCACATACATACTGTGACGGTTACCCCTATGGAGTAGGGTATCTACCGTCTGGGCGTCCTCCTTCCCAGTACTGGAGACCACGGTCCTGTAGAGTGGGTAGAGCGGGGCTCCCTCCTCCAGGAGGGTATAGCTGGGGCTCTCCTTCCAGAAGGTGTAGCAGGGTAGCTGGAGACAGCTCTCATAAGAGCTAGTAGTGATATAGCTGGCAAGCAGGCTTCTCCATAAGCCAGAGGAACAGGGCCTTTTGGCACATGGAAAGCCATAGGCAAATGGCAGTTTGTCACACCGGTTTTAAAATTACAGATTCTTTGCCAGCAGAGTTAAAGGGCCAGACATAGTTTTTAACATCCAAGATGCAGAAATTGAGTTTTTAACAGGTAATGCACTCCAGGGGCCATAGTCCCAGGGTAACCAGAGTCTAGGAGCGTGTTCTTGGTTGGAATACAATGCTAGTACCGTGATCCACACCATAACCACTGTGATAAAAAAAATCACCATAACTACTACAAGCAATGAGGGATTTTGTTACACATACTTACACAGATATGCATACACATAAACACACACATACACACATTTTGACACATGCGCACACCTTGACACCAGGGATGACCACCCAGTCACCCATGACTGGTACATGTCTCCCAACCATCCCTTCCCACCAAGAGAGCTATTTTTACTTAAGTTGCCCTTCCAGCACAGTGCCCCCAAAGTCACCATAGGCCTGCAGGAAGGTTGTAGAGGCACGGCGCAACTGACCGGGAGCAATCTACAACCTCTCTGGAACTCTCTGATCGGTCTGGTAAAATTTTGTCCAGGGCACTGTCGGTTCCAGAGTCAACTATTAGAGCGCGGTTTGTAGGGGTGATAGAAGAGGTGGTTAGGTATCCAACAGTACCAAGGAACTCAGGGAGCTACATGTACCGGTTGAAAGTGCCATCGTTTTAGGTGACCAATGTTTTCCACCCAGCGCTATGGAACTCTGTGCTTTTTGGACAGAGTGGGTGCTCAGAAAAGAGCTTTACTGGGACACAATTTGTTTGAAGATATGGGCACAGGAACCATGCTTTTTAATTGAAATTGTTAATCTGGGTCAAGATGTCTGGCCGCTAATTAAATTACTTGTTCAGGCACAAACACCTAGGCGCCAGGTATGTTGCAATATGTATTGTTCTCCTGACGACTCAGGTATAAAAGTGTGTTGTTTTCCCAATAAAAACAGTTCTACTTCACCCTACACTAATTCTTGGCTAGTGCTTGGGATGAATCTGCTTAACAGCTATAATCCTCTACTACACCCTCTAGCCTTTGGGCTATATTCATTGAGGGAAAGGCGACACTCTACTCTTGGTTTAGTAGCTACAATTTAAGCTAGTGTCACCTTTTTCAAGATTCTTTTATTTTTATTATTATAATCTAATACTAAAGGAATTGCATCATAAAGGTTTTTCTTTTTGGTTTCTATCGTAGTAGATATTTTTTTTTCTCTCACTCTATTAATTAAATTATTTGTGATTGCTCTCCAAAGTCCTTTGTATTTGTGCAGTTTATTTTTAATTTTAGTTTCTATGTGACCCGAGGTGCATGTATATACGGCGAAGATTCCTGTCATATTCATTTTTTTTTTTTTCTTCAGACGTGTACCTGCTCTGCATACGTTTGATAATGCTTATGTAATTCAGGCCTTGGTACAATGTCATCATCAATATATCTTGAAAATCTATTGATCTTACTAATCCCTCCCAGCCGGATCCCCCCTATCTCTACATTAATTCTTGGTATACGTTTTATGTCTGTCTGTGTTATTCTGTTTATCTGCCTGGTTTGCGGTTATATTCTTCTTCTCGCTACATCTGGTCTAATACTTCCCTTCAAAAAAAAAAAAATGAAAGGTCACTATGTAGGGCAAAGAAAGCCTAATATATTATCAATTTTATTTATCCATGTATCCAAGTCTTCTATCTGCTGATATCTATTTCATTCGATATCTTTCCATTCTTGCTTGCCATATAACTTGTTTTATTAGTTCATCGGTGCATGGAATTGTCACTGTTTTCCAATTTAGTGCTAAAAGTTATTTAGCTGCCATAATTATGTGGAATATTAACATTGATGTTCTTTTTGTCATATTTGGCCAGTGCATGTTTAGTCGAACCACGTCAGGCTTAAGGGGTAAATTTATCTATGTTATTTGATATATTATATTAATTACTTCTTTCCACAATTTGTTTGAGTGTGCACTGCCATCAGATATGGATCATATTACATTTCCAGCATCTGTCTGATAACTCTGGGAAGATTTTCTTTTAAGCGTTTCGGTGTTAGGTACCATCTATTTGATAGTGGGTTTCTGTAAGGTTTAAGCAGTGTATATGTTTATTTAGTTTATTTAAAGAGTTTATCCACTCTTCTTCTTCTATATGTACTTGTAGTTCCTTTTCCAATTTATTAATTAGTGCTATTGGTTTATCATGTCTCCATCTATATACAACTTTAGCACATTTTGCCAGTAATTTTTTATAATTCTTTAGTTTAAATAGATGTAGAAGATTTATGATATTCTCCCCCTTGTTTTTGTAGAGGTTTTCTGCTAGGAAGCTCTTGATTCACAGATAATTGAGCGTTTCACTGGGGGGGGAAGGGGAGAATGTTAAATGTTGAATCATGCTGGCTCTGCCCCTGATCTGCCTCCTTGTCAGTCTCAGCCAATCCTATGGGGAAGCATTGTGATTGGATCACAACCACCACGTCTTGTTTTTCTGAGGCAGACAGCATGCAGATCTACAGCTTCAGGCTTGGATACAGTAAGATTTTGCTATATTTATGGAGGCATGAGGGGCCCAGATGGTAATTTTAACACTATAGGGTCAGGAATACATGTTTGTGTTCCTGACACTATAGTGATCCTTTAAGAGAAGTGGGGTCAAAAGACTGCTTTTTTTGGTGGTGGGATTGATAATTGTATGTTTGAGGGAAGAGTGGAAAATGCCAGTAGACATAGAGAGATTGAAAATATACATTAGGGATGGGGGAAAGAGATTGGTTAAGGTGAGAAGGGGAGAGGATTAAGTGGGCAGGTGGAAGGGTAGTGCTTCCAGTGCTGCTTACTAGGGTCAAGCCATTTAGACTCTAGCACAGTGCTAAAAAAGCATAGTGCCTGTGGTATAGCCTGTATATTTTTTATTACATGATAAACAAGGAGAAGCACATAAAGATTATATCCAGACACATGTTGTCTACCACCGGGGACTGTTAAAGACAAACTCAAAACAAAATAGAAGTTAAA